CCTAAAAATTTTGCAATGCTGTATTGCTGAGGGCAAAGCATGTTTCCATGGAACGCGTTTTCTACGCGAAATCTCTTTCTCGGATAAACCTATCATATTTCTTCACACCGAACAGCAGCAAGTTGACGTTGGCAGGTTCTGTTGTGATCCACACAATTATTCCATCTTCGGTGTAGACATGACGTTCAACTTATGTGACTTACTTCACTGTGTCAACTTACAAAAACCTCAGCGTCACCTCAAAAGCTAGACGGAAGTATCCAACATCGCTAGGTCCAGTCATGGTCCATGTGAAAAAGACAGAGGCCCGTATTTGGCCTTTGCTTGCAAACTGCGCCACTTGGTAGACCATAAAAAGACCTTGGCATCATATGGTAGCGGCGATGACGAAGCTCTCCACAGTGCATTTAAAGCATGTTTTCCCCACGCTGGGCCACATTCATTTCAGGCGTAATACTGAGCATAAGCTTAGTGATATGCCCACCGGGGTATCTGAGCAGAATGTCGTTTTAACAGATATTTTTTACCCAAATGCTGGTTTGGCTCATAATACCATTGCCGATTTACTCTCTCAACACCTCGAGACATTTATGGTCAAGCGGATAAGTGTCAGGGGTCAAAAGGGAGTAAAAATTTCGAATTGGATCAAGAAATGCAAACTTGGCAGTTTTAATAGAGGAATTGTGGGTAAGAAATTTTCTACCAACCGCACTGAGAGTATAACTAATGTCATTTCCGCAGCATCCGGTCGGCAGCGTCTCGGCATCTGCCACATCGTTGAGACGTTACGTGATTTGGTTATGTACCAGCAGCCCGAAGTGGGCAGAGGTTATGACCGCCGAGGATCGTACACAGTCCATAGGTCCTATGAACATCTGACTACAGCGGCAGGTGACGAAATCAGCTTATATCAACGCAAAATAAGGCGCGATCAGTTTTTCAACCAAGCACCGAGGCCGTTATGCACCAAAATTAGTGAGTCACCGACAATCCCACCTTCGGTAGGGAGAAAGCCACATCAACGACCCCTCAAATATAAGACTCCAGTTTACCATAACTTAGAGCCATTCTTCATAGTTGCAAGCTCTCCTAAAGCAAAGAAATGTATATCTTGCAATGGAAAAATTGACTGGAGAGCGTTTCGCGAGCCTCGCGACATCGTCCTGCCTCATAATGAGCGGTGGGAGTTTCCAAAAGTTGTTGGAGATGTGGTGGCAAAAGTAGCGGTTGTTAAAAAGATGACTAGGATGTTTTATCATATTACGAAGGCATGTGTTGCGTCGCGGTTTCCCGATCTCATAGGCAAACGTGATTTTATACGAGATGACGCGTTTGTGCTTCCAGTACTAACAAGCGTACATAAAGAACACATCCTGGAAATGTTGGGAGTCAGAGTTTAACTGTGTGTGTGTGTGTGTGTGTGTGTGTGTGTGTGTGTGTGTGTGTGTGTGTGTGTGTGTGTGTGTGTGTGTGTGTGTGTGTGTGTGTGTGTGTGTGTGTGTGTGTGTGTGTGTGTGTGTTTTGGGTGTTTTCACACAAACACCAAAGCACACTGGGTTGTTCGGGCCTATTTATTGGGTCTTGGTGTTTGAATTTAGGCCCTACACTCCTGTTTGGGCAACCTGATAATCTGCTCGGATATACTCCATCTTTCGGGCGCCCTCCGCACTGGGTTTTGGCTACTTCTTATTTCGATGGAGGGCCTTACGCTCTCGTCGGGCCCCTTCTGATGTGCTTACCATTCGAATCGAGGGTCCTACGCTCAGATAAGATCGATCAGGTTGTCCACGGATTTTTCTCATTCGCCCGAAAGGCTCTTCACGTTTTTTTCCGGGGTGCTATATGCCAGAGTACACTCAGCTACTCAGGATTCCTTCATATAAGTCTCGGATTCTCTCCACTTGCTTGGAGGGCCTTGTGCTGTTGCTAGGGCTGTTATAAGGTGACGCACGGAGACACCCGATGCTCAGTGGCCCTCGATTCTGATCGAGGGCTCTCCCTTTGGTCTCATTTGCGGAAGACTCTTCGCTCCTATCGAGGGTCATGTTGTTAACCTGCCCGTACACTGTTGATTGCACAGGGGTATCGATTCATGACCTTGGATAATTTCCCTATGCTCGGAGCATCCTGTGCTATGGCAGGGGCCTTATATGTCAGGCTACCGGAGCACTACCGATCGTTTAGGGGCCCATCACGTTGGCCTTGGGTTCGTTTTGCTTGCCCTGAAGGCCCTATTGGTGTTGACAGGAACCACTTTGTTGGCCTCCTGCGGCACCCATGCTCGCTCAGTTTCCGTCCCTATTGGCCTCGGTGCATTTGTCTTAGAGCGGCAGTCGAATATGCGCCGATGAATTTTTACGCGTGATTGCCGCACGTAATTGTACATGCCGCCGGCGTCGTATGTGTCATTTCCATTGGCAATCAAGTGTGTAACACTTTTTATACTAGTGTATCATGTTCTTAACATATTTTGAATGCTTAGATATGTTGCGCTCTTTTATAACGAAGAATAAAATTGCATTAGTTATCAGCCATCAGCTGATTACATCGCCCAACCGGCTATACATACAACCGTAAATACATAAGCTAGGAATCAAGTCCATGCTTGGCTTTAATGGTTATTAGCAGCCAATTCAAGTTTATTTTGCCTGCTTTTCCAAAACACTTAGCCTCAAAATCATAGCATTTAAAACGATCTGTAGAAAATGAGTGAGCTCTGTGTGCATGTATGCGTAGCACGCCTATGCCTTATAAGTCTGTGCACAGTAAGATGAATTTCCGTATTTATGAAGTATATGAAGAAGTTAATACATACATACATATACACACACACACACACACACATATATATATATATATATATATATATATATATATATATATATATATATATATATATGTATTAACCTCTTCATATATATCATAAATACGGAAATTCATCTTACTGTGCACAGGCCTATAAAGCATAGGCGTGCTACGCATACATACACACAGCTCACTCATTTTCTACAGATCGTTTTAAATGCTATGATTTTGAGGCTAAGTGTTTTGGAACAACAGGCAAAATAAACTTGAATTGGCTGCTAATAACCATAAAAGCCATATACCATAACCGTAAAGCCAATAACCATATTTCATAAATATGTATATATATGCATGTATATGCATATATATATATATATATATATATATATATATATATATATATATATATATATATATCGCATACAACTTGTCTTGAAATGTAATGCCCGAAGTGCAAGGATATTTTTGGGAGCGGGCCCCAAACTCCAGGGGCCCCACAATGTTGCGTGCCCCCATCTTTTAACGAAATCCTGCATTCGCCCATGAGCTTTTGCAAAAACACCAGCACCAGGCGTAGCAGTCTTCGTATGCCGCGCTGCGTCAGCCCACGTTGTTGATACCAGGCGGCGGCCAACGGGCAAGCAAAATTGGCTATGTATCGGAAAGCAGCACTTTGGAACGCCTCAAAAAGTCAACTTCCGCATGTGGACGGTTGTCTGAGTACGTAATTTTGCCTCAGGAATTTTCATATCGGTTCTCAGAACGGATTATTTACAGCATTACGAACGCTTCACGTGGTGGTAAAATATCTATCATTCGTGTATCGTGTTTGCTAATCCTATCAGAAGATCAACATGAAAATGTGTGTGTGCTAAATATACGGCCCAATATAACACTTAAACAGTGCCAGTTTAACCCATATGACTTTTGGGGCATGATTTCTACCACATGTTCGTTCTCTCGCACCGGCCGCCCGCTGCTTGGTCTTGGTGTTACGGCCACCGACGCCGCATGGCCAGCTGTGCCGGTGTCTTTGTTGCTTGAGAGTGAGGCGCGAGCATGCTTCAGTGAATAGCAGATTATGTGTATATTTACACCACATTATTTTGAAAAAGAAGGACATTTACAGCCAAACATGAATGAGTTAGCTACGTGAATAGAGAATTTTGGCCCCGTTTTGATTTTGGACACTAACGGGACCTTTTATCTATACGAGACTTTATATCCCGGACAGAGAGCACTGCGGATAGACCACTAAAGGCGACCAATCACCTAGCCAGTCAGGGGCGGAGCTGCCCGACACAACCCGTAGTTACTATTGGTTGCCAGTCGGACGACAAGGGCAGGGGGAGGCAGCGGTAAAGCCCTCAGCTGGACGTCTGAAGTACTCCGAGAGATTTACCATATTTGGTTCTGTTCACTGACTTGGAGGGCCTTCTGACCGGGGTAGTTGGCCCCGGATCGACGTAAGGGCGCTCGCGGACTCAAGAAAATCAGTTGCCGGCGAAAGAGTCCTTACAGTTGGTTTAGACACTCCAGTTCAGACTGTAAGGGCCCTGAACGACATGGGCCAATGAGCTCTCTGTTGGGTGTTGAGCTCCCAGCCTGATGCAGCCCCTGAAATCGTCCCATTTGGAATATTTCGATTGCCATTTTGATGCGCGTTTCCATCGGCGGAGAGACAAGCCAACGTGAGAGGCCCTACTGCGACATTCGGTCCAAATCCTTTCACTGTTCAACACATGCGCCCGTGGTCGACTCAGGGCGCTTTGCTGAGCCTGTTAGGCACTGTGGGCCGCTGACATGCGCCGAGGTCCTTCATTGTTTCAAGGGTCTCGTGACCAATGTAGGAAGCCTTTTGTGGCATTCGTGGGCCCAGTCGTGGTAAATGCCTGGGACATTGACTCCCAAGGCCTCGAGGACACTTAGCCGACTGCTCAGTATTGGTAGAATCAGTCAGACGTAGACCTGCTCACTTCCCCCATGGTGTCCCTGATCGGCGTTATGGGCCAGCTGCCCACGCGACACCACACGCCACCTCGCGCTCCTCGCTGAGATGTCCAGGCGCCCAAGACAAGCTCAACTTCCTGATACCGTAACTAGATGGCGCGCAGTGCCACGGCAGCTCTCGCCGTTTGCTCTCGGGGCCCCAACTGTGCGTGGCGAAAGTGGTGGTGGCTCAGGCGTGGTGAGGGGCGCGCGGCGCCAGGAGGGTGGAGGCGCAGTGTCGCGAGGTGCGTCTGGAAGGCCTGAGAGGCAGCTCCCACCGTTGCTGCCCAGGTATGCGGCTGCGCTGTGTGTCGTCTGCCAGACTGGGACCGCGCCGTGCTCGGCTGGGCTGCTGACCTTCACGTGGGCGCCCGCCCGCGCCGCCGACTCTGTCGTGCGTATCACGCCAGGCGACGCGATGCCGCGCAAGCTGCTCAAGTTCCTGATTTTGTTCGACAACGCGAACCTGCTGTACTTCCCGGGCCAGTTCGTCAGCGGCCGGGTTCTCGTCGAGCTGGAGGATGAGACGCCAGTGCAAGGTGAGAACGCGCCGCCGCGGCCGTGCAGCGCGTGGTGGGAGCGCAGCGCACTGGAGGCTGGAGCACTGGAGTGCCCTAGCCGGGAGCTCAGGCCACTGGAGGCTGGAGCAGTGGAGTGCCCTGGCCGGGAGCGTGGAGGCTGGGGCACTGGAGTGCACTGACCGGGAGCGTGGAGGCTGGGGCACTAGAGTGCACTGGCCGGGAGCGCAGGGCGGTGCAGTCGAACGGCGGCGGCAGGGACGGAGACGGCTCGCCAGCTGTTAAGCACGTTGGTTGAGATAAATGTGATATTAGCCATACGCGTTTCATCGGGGAACTAATCCAAACATGCGCAACAGAGGTTTTCAATTTTTTCCGGGTCAATGCGTAGGTCTGAAGGTGCCGCAGCGTTTCACTCTCGCTGGGAAGAAAAGTGTAGTTGTGATGCTGATGATGTTGGCGAGCCAGGCGATGGCCTGTACGCGAAAGTTTGGCGCCCACTACAGATCTGCATCCTCGTGAAAGTAAATATTTGAGAGGCCTGGCGCCATTCAGTCAAAGCATTCATCATGACCAGCATACCAGGGACTACAGACCTTTACGGACACGTGCTACCTGGCTTGGGCAGCAGCCCGTCTTGGCCAGTTGGCCTGGCCATGCTCGCTTCAATGTCATTAATGATCAGTCCGGCCCTTCCGTGCTATCCCTATTCACATTTTTACAGTAACTTAGGTTGACGTGATGAAAACAACGAAAAAAACGGTTCAGACCTTGGCCTACCCTTTTAGCTTTGGTAAACGTCTATATCGTGCAGCTATAGGTAATAATGAATTAAGTCAAGGCAGCCACTGATATATTTTATCATTTCTTAAAGCCTTTGCCTACAGTTTCGAAAGTCGCCACAGATGCCGCTTTCCTTACTCGAAGTGTTTGCAGAAGATATGAATGCCTTAACGCATGATGTATTCTGCGTAGAATGCATGGAATTTCCCATTTCGTGAATCACTTTACCATAGCCCTCCCAATCCCCCAAGCCATCAAATTAAGAAGGCCTTCCTTCACTGCCAACAGCCAAATGAAGAAACACGTCCCTATCTCAAGGAGAAGGGTTCAGCGCCGCAAAGCACGTCACTGCATGGATAAATAACTTTTGTGGGATTATTTCAATGCACTTTCGGCTCTTTGTCTACCATGTCTGACCTAATGCTGGATTAGCTGTAGAGATTTTCTACATTTCATATACTGCAAATTTTCCTTGCGTCTTTCATATGCTATCACAGGTCAAACATGAGATAAAGGGCGTCACGGACTGTAGCCTTGCGTCTGCGTGAGGAGTTTGTCACAGTAAATGCAATTTCTACCAGTTTCGATTATAAAGTTCGATCACGCCTATTGTCACCTCGAAAACTTTGCACTTAGCACTTGTCTTTCGCCAATTTGGCTCAGAACTCTGAAATCAGTAAATGATGTACCACCAAATCGTATGATACCATCTTAATCTGTTGAAATAAAAAGAACTTTGCTAGTCGCACTTACCACTCCCATTCCTCTACACCACTCGCAACCAGTTGGGATCACCTATCTGGAGACGACAAAGGATGCATCAAGAAACAGGAAACAGGACGTCGCCTTTTTGCGGAAGTGTTCGTATCCCTGCAAGGGGACGGGTCAGCGCAAACCGGTCCAGTCTGGCGCCAGCTGCGGCCGCCGCGCCGGCGCGCGCACGGGAAATACCTCTCTCCCGCCTGGCCTTGAGCTGACGAGGCCGGCCTGGCAGACGCGTGTCCGGCAGTCAGGCCGACACTGATGCGTGTGCTGAGACTGATGTCGGAGCTGTCGGCGGACCTGTCGGACCGAGGCTGGTGTCGGGGCTGACCGTCTGGCTGAGATGCTTGTCGGACCTGTCGGACCGAGGCTGGTGTCGGCCCTGTCGGACCGAGGCTGGTGTCGGGACTGTCCAACCGAGGCTGGTGTCGGGGCTGTCGGACCGAGGCCGGTGTCAGACCTGTCAGGCTGACGCTGGTGTCAGGACTGTCAAACTGAGGCTGGTGTCGGGGCTGCCAAACTGAGGCTGGTGTCAGACCTGTCAAACCGATCGGACCTATCGGACTGAGCCTGGTGTCGGGACTGTCCAACCGAGACTGGTGTCGGGGCTGTCGGACCGAGGCCGGTGTCAGACCTGTTCGACTGACGCTGGTGTCGGGACTGTCAAACTGAGGCTGGTGTTGGGGCTGCCAAACCGAGGCTGCTGTCGGACCTGTCGGACCGAGGCTGGTGTCGGGACCGCCATGTTGAATTACCGCATTCCAGGGATTTCCGCAGTTCCCACCAAGCGCGGCGAGCCCCGATTACCTAGGCCATGGCTGTCTGAAGCGTCATTTGTGGCGACGGCTCCCGTCACCTCTCCATGTTGCTTTCACCGAAAACCGAATCCTTCAGCTCCTGGGAGGTCGAGCTGGGTCACCACCCATCGGAGCAGGAGGAACAAAAACAGCAGCAGCTTCTACAGCACATGCGGCACATGCGGCACATGTATCACACGCAGCTTTGCAGCTGTCGAATCCTGCCTCAAAAGCGAAGTGTTCTCAAATCGTCACCTGGCCGAACGTCAATGTTTTGCCGTGTTTCTTATTCATAGCTACATAATGTGTATATGTGTAGGCAAATTTTTAGTCTGTGTGTGTATCTAGTCGCGCGGCCACAGCCTTGGCAATTGGGGCACATGGTTGACAAAGGGCCCCTGATACTGAACGGCGCCCAAATTGCCAAATTTTGCCCATTCGAAGGCGTGCTTTTTTATATTTTTTTCATTTGTTGCCTTCCTTCACTTGAAAAGAAACCTGGAGCTACCGCGATATAAAGTCTGACTGAGTGTCATAGTCAATAAACTGAAAAATCATGTGTTCAACCATTGCACGAAATAAACCACCAGCGCCCTCCATCTTACAATGGCCTAGTGGACTCTTTCCATGGCGACAGAACTCAGAAGCTTCTTCATAATATTTATCTGGGTTCTACAGAGATATCAGGGTCCCGTGAATGTAGACTGTTGGTCAAAATGTTAGGCCATGTCATCATGTCACATATTTACCACGAATCGTTCCATATGTATGGCTTAATGATGATGTAAAACGGGTCAGCAATTTCTGTTAACTTTTCCAAGCCATGTTTGCCTGGAAATGTTCAACATACAGTCAGAATCAACTGGTGATGCAAATTATGTACATAGTTTTAAACATGCGTGCTCGCAAATTTTAGTAACAAAAACCTCGACGCCAGGCACTGCGGTCTTCGTGAGCCGCGCAGCGTCAGCCCCGCGGATAACACGTGGCCAATGGGCGGACGAAACTGATATGCATCTAAAACAGGAAATTTGAACGCTTTAGGAAATCAAATCGTACATTTAGAGGGTAGTCCTGGCGTATGTTTCACCGGCGCGATTTTTAGATTGATGTTAAAACGGACTGGCATTTACAGCACCGCGAGATGGTGCTGGCTGGAATCTGGTGGTGAAACTGCGAGGGTAAAGGTAGAATCTCTATCTGTCGTGTTGATGAAGCTGTTAATTTGTCCAGAGGGCAACCTCAACATTTTAAAAGGTACCCCAGTGTTTTTTTGAACGAATTAATTTTGAAAGACATTTGGACATTACAGGCAAAGACAGACATTGTGTCACGAGTCTTTCCCGCGCGGAGCGGGTGGCGCTATCTACAGTGGCTGACGCCGTTCAGTTTTACGGAAACTGCAACCCGGACAATCGCTACTCTTGCTCCTGAGATTTCGGGCGCGCAGGTCCAAACCTTTTGATGTAATTTGTTTCACTAATCCATTCTGCAAGAGGCTGAACGTTCTCAGGCCAACATGACATGGCCTCGTTTGTTTAAAAACTGATTTCGATTCACTCTTTTCAACGCTAATGAAACCCCTTTTTTCGTGTAAGGGCTTCTCTTGAGTAGAACACTAAGGGGCATACTAGAACACAAGAACACTTACTTTTTCCGGTTAGGAGCCGAACGTCCATTCCGTTCCACCGCAGAGTGTCTTACGGCTGCCTTTCTGGTGTCACGAAGCGGAATCCCCTGGTCCCTAGGCCCTTAGAGGGATACATCATAGCACATTGGTCTCTTCCTGCCGTAGGAGGCCTTCTGACCCGCACAGTTGGCCCTGGATCGACGCAGAAACCCTCATTGACGCAAAACATCCCTCATCCCTGCAAGTGGTGCAATAATTGGCGCTTAGACTCCAGTTCGGCCTAACGGGCCCATACTGGAATTGGGCTTGAGGGCCTGCCATAGGGTACTGAGGGTCCTGACTGACACAAGACCCTTCCGTTATCTCACCGTGAACACTCGTCATAAGTTATCTTGCCCCTTTCATTGTTAGAGGCCCCCAACCAACGCGAGACGTCCTATGCCATTCGGGTCCTTTATCCGCCCTGTTAAGCAAATGCCCCTCTGACCGACTCGAGGCCCCCTGTTGACACAGAGCACCCTGTTAAGCACTGGGCCCCTGGCCGACACAGGAGCCCCGCATTATTGCAGGGGTCCGACCAATGCAAATCGCGGGCCCGGCCTCGTCCCTGCTTGAGAAATGGGGCCCGGGAGCTCAGACAGACACGGAATCGACTGTTCGGTTTTGGTGATCTTTTGCCGAAATAAATAAACGTTTTGACTCAGGGGTCCCCAATCGGTACAAGAGACCCTTTTACTGAAATTTGAGATCACGGTCCTACGGGCGGGGGCATTGAATGTGACCCTTTGGGCCCTTCAGCCTTCCAATCGGGCCCTTGATCTTTGGTCCCGAGGGCCTTTCGTTCCCTCTACGGAACACCTTAAACAAAGATTGTGACCGACTTGGGACCACAAGTCGACATACGACCCCTGTTAGGCGCTGGGGCCTCTGACCGGCACAGGGTCCCAACCATTGTTTCAGGGACCTAGACGAATGCAAGCCGTGGCCCCCGGTCTTGATCCTTCCTGGGAGAGGGTCCCCAGGGTTTAGGTTGACAGGGAATCAACTGCTTCGTTCTCGTGATCTCTGGCTGACCGAGATACCTGTGTTGTCTCAGGGGTTCTCAAACAGTGCAAGAGGATCTCTGACTTATATTTTGGGTCACTGCCCTACGGACCGCTATTCTTTAAGTGACCGACAGCCAGCCCTTCGGGCCCATATGCCCACCAATCGAGCCCTTGATAGTCGGTTCTGCTGGACCTCCCGGGCCCCCCTCCGGGTCTCATAGAACTCTACCCTTGGCCGGCTCGGGGCCCCTTGCGAACACAGGACCTTCTGCTGGGCACTGCGGGCCCCTGTTATATCTATCGCCGTCCTGCCCCGACCAGTGTAAATCCCTGGCCCCAGCTTTGTAGCTGATTGGGAAGTGGGCCAGCAGGCCCACATCGACACAGAGCTAACTGTTCGGTACTGGTGGTGCATGACCAACATATAGGCCCATGTCAACTCAGGGGTCCCCGATCGTGGCAAAGAATCCTCAAAACCTAAGCGGGGGGGGGGGGGGGTACGTGCTCCTTTGCCCCCCCCCCCCTGCCTGCGCTACCGTGTGTATCGTGCATTTATGTTTTTACAACTGGCCTGCTTCCGCAATTGAACCTTTGCCGGCGGATTGCTTACGCCTTAAATAGACAGATAAACTATGTAAGAGCGGAGTTATAGGATGGGTTTACCATTAATGAGCTCTGTCAGCCAACGTAGGGTAATTCATAGTCGCGTTCCTCTCGTCTTTTCCAGTCGACTTTCGTTAGCGTCCACAGAGTGCGCGATTGTTTACGGTCCGGCTGGTACCTTTCTCCACGCTCTGTAACAGAACTGCGTGACCAGTTTGTTCGCCGGAATGTCCTGTTAGCCGCGTCAGTTCGTGCGCCGCCCAAACGTATTCCCAGCAGTGTTCTGTTAACTGGGGCGACCGATGGGTGGCACGGGTGTATTCGTGACCCCACTGGCTGTGGCTGGCGCGTTTACAAGCACGCTGGCGGTTCCGCTCCGACTTTTTGTGCACCGCCTCTCCTCACGTGAGCCGCACAACTGCGACCCCATCCTTCGAGAGCTAGGCCCATCCAGTGGCCGCGGGCCGGTCGGCGCACTCTCCGACCAGACAATGCGGGCTGGCCGTCACGAGGCCGCGACAGCCGCGTATGACCGCCGACGGTCAGGAGGTGACCCCGGCGTGACCTGGCCAGTCCTCTCGCGTGTCGAGCGGCGCCCGCGCTGGCTCCCACATCCGCTCAGCCGCGCCGACGGCCCTCAACAATAGCGCTCGGCGTGCCTGCGTTTTTGAAGTTGGTTTGGTGACCTGGATAGATGTCTCACAAAATAGCCGAATTCGGACAAGCGGTCCCTTGTTCAGTGCATTCTGGTACGATTGCGAAAGTGTCACTGAATCTTTGTTTGCTTCTCAGCGACTGAGCTAAAAAATGCAATTTTTAGAGATGGTTCAGCACAAGGAACTTAAGTGGCTACCACATGAATTAAACGAGAATGTCGAAGGCTTGCATGGCTCAAGTGGCCGCCTGTTTGCATAACTATTAGCACGCCTACCGCCGTTTTTCCATACAGTTCCTTACCAAACCTTCCTTGCAGTTCTCATACAGATCGCTCCCATCCCAATACGGTCCATTTGTTAGCCGTGACAATGACTTCACCTTTTTCCCACCGAGCCATTATAACTGAGAATAACGAGGCCTTTTAGCCGTACCAAACACCTCTCCAAATCATCCCGGTAACATCAACGACGCACATAACAGTACCCAGCGCCTCCAACGCCCCTATATAAAGCCAGCCGGGCTGTGCCGCAGACCGCCTGCACGAGCTGGCGTCGGGCCGGGCCACGACCGACGACACCGCGAGGCCGGCCGGTCCCAAGACCTGCCGGCCGGGCCCAGGACCTGTCGGTCGGTCCCAGGACATGCCGGCCAGTCCCAGGGCATGCCGGCCGGTCCCAGGACATGCCGGCCGGTCCCAGGGCATGCCGGCCGGTCCCAGGACATGCCGGTCGGCCTGAGGAATGGCCGCGCCCCGTCGCCGCCCGGCCGCCGCCGGCTGCCCCGGCTCCCATCCATCACGGCCGCCAATCTCACCAATGGATGAGCGATGTCGCGCGACGGCGCCGCGCGTGTTCCCCGGCGTTTTGACAAAAGCCTGATGGATGAAAATGGCCGTCAATTGGTCATTCGTGAGGAGCGTTGAGAGAAATAATTTTTAAGAGGTTCGTTCATCACGAGAACTCTCTTCTGTTCGTCACTTTAATTGAGCGGAACGGTCCATATTCAAGAAGCTCTCGTGGAAGTGCTGGAAGAACTGAAAATTCACTAATGGGCTCCAACGACTGTGTGCTGAGCGAATAATTAGTGTACCTGGTCATGCTAGTCGTAACAAGCAAATGACTAGCAACATTAACGTTTAAAATTGCATACCTACGTGCCTAGAAACCCGCTTATTACATCAACTTGTGTTCTTTTTCAGGAGTTTTCTTCCACGTGGTGGGCGAAGGTACTGTCAAAGTTAGTGACAACCAGAACCAGAGGCACACCGACAAGGAAAACTACATCGACTTCAAAATGAGGCTTCTCGGCGAGCACGGTAAGACAACCTAAGCGAAACTGAGATGAGCACGGGTATGATCTGAGACTATGGCCGGGGAAGCCGGGGGCCAGGAGAGCGGCCGCCCCGGTCCTCGGGCTGGTTTCGTCACACGGGGCCGCTCACAGCAGTGTGACATCACTGCAGAGCCACGTGCTGGCGTAACGCCACGCCTGAGGCGGGCCGTGACACGACGTCACGTCACGACCGGCCACTAGCGCGCCTCGTCGTCACGTCACGACCGGCCACTAGCGCGCCTCGACGTCACGTCACGACCGGCCACTAGCGCGCCTCGACGTCACGTCACGACCGGCCACTAGCGCGCCTCGGCGTCACGTCACGACCGGCCACCAGCGCGCCTCGGCGTCACGTCACGACCGGCCACTAGCGCGCCTCGACGTCACGTCACGACCGGCCACTAGCGCGCCTCGACGTCACGTCACGACCGGCCACTAGCGCGCCTCGGCGTCACGTCACGACCGGCCACTAGCGCGCCTCGACGTCACGTCACGACCGGCCACTAGCGCGCCTCGACGTCACGTCACGACCGGCCACCAGCGCGCCTCGACGTCACGTCACGACCGGCCACTAGCGCGCCTCGTCGTCACGTCACGCAGAGGCGCGCTGGGCTCGGCTCGGGGTGTGCTCCCCTTTGTCAGCGAGCCCATCGCCCGCTGCACGTGGTTTGCGCTTCCATTAACGCAAGCTGCGGATGCAGTGTCACTGAATTGCAAAGCCTGAGCAAAATATGCAATTTTCTTACATCATGTAGTTTAGTGAAAAACGATATGAAAGCGGCAAAGGCGTAGATGGCCATGTAGATATGCATACATGCAGATAGCCAGTTCTTCCCAGTTTGGAAGAGGGTTCAAAGATGGTGAAAGTGAGCATAGGACCACAAGTTTTACGCAATGGAAGTACATAATATGCCAATCAAACTGCTATACGAGCATTCGTAAAAAGTAACAAATTTGATAACTGGGATGCAGCCTACACTTAAGCGATAGAAATATTATGTTGGGTCCCAACTTTAATGACATTTATGAAATACTGCACAAAATTAAGACAAACTGGATGACCACGTGTTTGCGTCGCGTTAAACGAGCCATTCAAATAAAAACGAATACAAATGGTAGGTGTGGCGCGACTGGATCGTTACCTTTCGTACGGACTCTTTTATCGTATTCACCCCATTCGGTAAGATGGTGAAAGCACTTGGCGTGAAGCGAAAGAGCAGTATCGCGCGGCCAGACGCCGGGCCGAGGTAGTTGGTACTCGGTGTCGCAGCGACAGTGTGTCGGTGTCGCAGCGACAGTGTGTCGGTGTCGCAGCGACAGTGTGTCGGTGTCGCAGCGACAGTGTGCCGATGTCGTTGAGACGCTGGACGTGCCTTTTCACTAGATCCCGGTCGATATACCACCGAATCTCCACCCCGTCAACTCCAGCAAAGCACAAACTTGTTGACGCGCTGATCTGCCTTATCTCTATTGGTTGCGAGACGTGTCTGCCCAGAAGTCTAAATTTTTGTGTCCACTATTGACAGCTCTCCGCACGCTATCTCCCGGCTGGTTGCGTGCCGCGTGGGATGTGCAGTTGGTTCCAGGACCTGCCCATGGACCACCTATTCGGTGGCATTCTTGATATTTACCGACGTTCCCGGATGAACCGCGTGAATGTCTTCATAAATTCAAACGTTAAATTTGGAGTCGTATCCAGGATGATCTCCCTGAGCTTTGCAACTGTTTAAATTTATCAGAACTTAAAACGATTTTTCTTGGTAGGCAGTGAGTGTGGAGGTTTCACCACCGACTGCACAGTAAAGGCTGTATGATTCACCACTCTCGCTCTGATCTGGTGAATGTCAAATTTGACCTAACCCAGTATACTGTCTTGTACCAGACTTGAACAGGACCGAAATCTAGGTCGGCGTCGAAGTTGATCGCGAAATTCTGCTGACACGCATGACCTAAAAAGATAATGAATGCAAAATGGGATGCCGTGTGTTTGGTGCTGTTTTCAAAATGCTGCGATTAGTGGAAAGATACTTTGTCACACAAAGTCATGACTTCCATGACGATGCATTCAACTAAACGATGGATTAAAAAACTCCAATCAGCCACTCTGTGGGAAACATGGAATGCTTTGATGGCGCCGCGCGCGGAGCCTGTTTCAAAAGTCGCAGGCTTCAATGCTCCCCACGTGTCTGGAGCTCCCCACTCTTGAGTCTGGTTCGACCGTGCAGTAGCCTGGCATCTTCCGGGCCGCACCTTTCCTGTCATACGCCGTTCATGTCGGCTATGTGCCAATGGGAATAACAGTGGGATCCTGCCGAAGGTTTCCTGTATGGGGCAGTGGGCAGGGAGTTATTGGAGCTTCCTCCGTGCTAGTAAGCAGTCTTTGCTCCTGTCCTCGCGCCGACACGCCGGCTACTCGTACTCCGGGTGGCTGAGGACCGTATCATGAGAATCGCGCGGCACCGTGTCCTTTCTTTTGGCCCTGGATATGGCGCAAACGTCGCATGTCGACGTCTCTCCCATTCTTGCCGTCAATCACCGTCCTCGCTGGTCCACAACGGCGACATATTTATTCCGTGATTCATGCAATCACTATACAATGACCCATCTTTCATGACGTATGATTACGTAGATAGTCAAGGAGATGCTTGCTGAATATTGATTGAAATGAAGTTTCATTGACTCAATAGTACAGATATTTGTTTCTCTACGCATCTCTGAAAAATACAGGCAGCCATTTAATCAATACCCTGAAATATGGCTTGAAGTAGTTGTTTGTTTTAACAAGCATAAATATACCTACCATGCCATGGCCATGATGTCTATCATGTGACAACCTCTTCGGTGACTCATGCTCCACAATTCCATGGCGCCATGGCTCATGCCCGGCCGGCCGTTTTCGCCTCGTTCGCGCTCTCTCCCGAGCCCGCGCTGACCAACTAGAGCGCCGACACGCCGACAAACAACCGGCCGATGCGCCGACGACAAACAACAACCAAGCGCCGGCGGGAGCGCCGGCGACGCATCCTAACATGTGTGCCGGTGATTCGGCCGTTTATTTGCGGCCCCGGCAGTGTCGGGCTCGTTTTTGTCCCGTTTATCAACGGGCCTGGTGGATAAACTGATGATGGTGTCAGGTGATTACGTGAGCCGTGGGATAGGTGCTGGCCGATAAGCTCACCGCGGTAAGAAACCACCATCCAGGGTGAAAAAGACATTATGCTGATAAGTCAGTGCCTGCTAAAATGCACAGTCTTACTGGGTTATCACGCGAAAAGTAAGCAACTACTTGAGTAAACATAGGTAAATATGGCTTTCAGAGACACAATCAAAGCTAAAGCGGAGGAGAATTAGCAAGGCACGCATGGAAATCTATGCGCAGTAGGCCGGTTCGATCCAGTTTTTTCTGGCATTTCAGTGCTCCCTGTGGATAGGCCGATGGCCTAGAGTGAAAAATAGAATGTGTTGTTTTTATTATACGTCATGCCTACGAACGCCGTGGCCAGGCCAGTGATCCTGTGTGGTCTGCACCCCGAAAAATACACGCACAATCCCACAAACTCGGTCGTCTCCCACTGCGCACGTCCAACTGCTGCGGGGCTTGCAGGAATGAAGGCCGCGGAGTGTCGGTGTGTCGCCGCTCTTGCAGACGTCCGTTGTTCGTCCGTAACACCGCTGGGACCGGACCGAACGGCAGCCAGTCTGTGGTACGCGCAGTGGCGAAACATGCCCATGGGAGGTGCCATGCTCTGAATCTTGCGGGATCGTGAAGAGCAAATCGGCATCTCGAGAACAGGGATAGCCTCAACTGTCTGCTGATAGATCAATTAAAAAATGATGAAAGTCTGGAAGGAAATCCAGAAATACCGGCGGCGGCAGTGAGTATGGACTGGCATGGCAGACTGTAACGACAACGATCTTTTCACGAGGCGCCGCTCACAACGTCCGACTGCAGAACATCAGTAACATCGTTTGCATGCTGAAGCGAGGGCTTCCAAATGAAGGTCTCATGCTCAACTTTCAGTTGCGTATCCAGTGACATACCCAGTGACGTCACCCAGTACCCAGTGACGTCACACAACGTGTGGCGCAGCGTCAAGCGACGGCCAGGCGGACGCGCCACCCACAGTACACCGCGTCTGTCGTCGACGTTGGACGCCTCCGGGCATGCGGGTCCAGCGGCTCACATGCGACTGCGGGAAATGAGCGATATTAGCGAATTGTTGGGTACTCCGAGTGATAAATCACGCGGTTTTGTGCGGGCGTACTGCGTCCCAGGACCTCGGCCGGCCACATCTCACCATTAGGACAAACCGCACAGCTACATTACCGCAACTTGTTTGCCTCATAATTTGAAAATTGGTGTTTACTGATCAATTCATGAGCAAACGATGCTATTTCTTGTCGAATTCGAGGATATCTGAAAGTTTTTACCGCCAGCTCAGGCTGGAACAGACCTTGTGCATCAGTCTGATGCCCCGGTAGATACATGTGGGGATACACTCCACATGTTCCAGCTCCAGAGTGAACGATGTCAGGCGCAAGCAACCAACCTGTCAGGTGCGGGCGGCCAACTTGTACAGTCACACTCCGTTTTCTTAGTTTATAAAGGATCACGGGACCAAAATTTGAATTTATCCACATTCTAATATAGCCAAAGGCTAGCGCTTACTACCACCAAACAATACACAATTCTCTGCGTTAAAGCCTACATCTCAATCGGTGCTACGTCAGCCTATACCGAGGCAGCCATGAATGGGCCCAAAGGCGACACTGGTCAAGCCCAGTGGCGGCCACCGCCGTGACCACGGCGGCCGGCGCTCCACGGTGCTCCGGGGTTCCCCGGTACAGGGCCGCCCGCGCCCGCGCCAGGCGGGGCGGCGCCACGCGTCCTCGGTCGGCCGGACTGCAGACTCGGCACAGCCGACCCCATTCCGGCCCGGCTGCGGCGCGGTGCGCCACGTTAGCCGCGGAGCGCACGGCGGT